GCAACTGGATCATCTTCAGTGTCTGTATGTAGAGGCTTGGACTTCTTGGGCAAAGAGCTCATGGGCCGAGTCGGCTTCACCTGGCGCCCGGGAATGATCCATTTACAAGGCTGAGATGTACAACTTCCTGATGTCTCACCAGGTTTGGCATGGCTAAGTGCAAAGAGAAGTGCACCTATATGGCTACATGCCTGTGCTAACCTAAAAGTAGAAAGGCTTCAAGGAATAATGCATGTAAACAATTACATAATTACACAGTATACACATGTATATACTTTTTAAGTACATGTCTAAAATTTCTGCTTTTTTTTATTGAAAATGGTATTTCTCATTATTTTACACATCCTTTTAGAATTATATAATTTCCACTATTAAAATAAATGAATACCAATTCACAAAATAATAGCCTAAAGCCCTAAACTGTCAACTTCATTGTAGTCATATTTGGGGAGTCAGAGAGGGTGGGGACTATTTCAACATAATTCTTCATACATAAACTTTAAACTAAAAGTCATATATGGGGAAGTGACACAATTTATGATGTGAAACAAATATATAATATAATGAGTAATGTACTAATATCAATCAGTGAAAAATAATGGGTTTGTAATTTTGTGTACTCAAATATAAACCATTAAACCAGTCCAGAAGCATTTCAAAGTGTAATAGTACTGTAATATTTAAATATTTTACCCTATAGGACACTGGCAATATCCATGCTGTATATGTGGTTTGCCTGTGTTGGATGTTGACACACATAGGAAGACTTGGTACTGCTGCTTTTTCATAGAAGCCTGCCATGTTGCTCTCACATAGATCACAGATGGGTTTATCTAAGTGAAAATGCACTTCATTTATTGAATGGATGATTGACACAAATAACATTAATAATTTCATCAGATGTTTTAATTAAAAATAATACTGCCTTTAAATTATCCAGACTCCACAGTTCTTTTCTTGCAAACATGTAAATTGCACATGCATTTAAAAAAATGTAAAATAGAATAATTCAAATGACATGTAAGTTTATAAGAGTTCATAATATTTTTAAAAACAACATGACATTTTTATCCCATACCTGTGATACCTTAATGTCTTGCACATCACCAGCCTCGAAGTGCTTGACAGATCTGTCTAGACCCTTGAAATTTTTCACTTTACTACCACACGGTGTAGGTCTTTCAATAATAAAGTTGTAAATATCAGTGAAGGATATTTTGGGAATATAAGAATGGTCTGGGGACTCATAAATCACGGCATTGAAGGGTGGTAAACTGTCATGAGAGGGTACTATCAAGGAAGCTCCGGCTGAATCTTGCTGCACGATCGGTGTGAGAACAGAGGGTGACGTCTGGCATATTAATAAATCCTGTATGATTTCTTCTTTTTTCTAAAATTAATTCCGTGTTCTTCGGCAAGTTTTCGCAGCACATTAACTTTTAACTTATTTAAACTCTCCCGCTTTGACATAGTTGTTATAAGGTCACCAATGTAAACAAAATGAGTTTGCCGTCCGGAAGCGTTTGTGCGCATGTGCGAGATTTATCGTGAAAAGGCTTATTAAAAAAAATTTCCTCAGTAAAGAAACATATAATATGGACCGCTCTCTGACAAAACCGGGCTTAATGACATAAGCGTTGACGTCGAGAAAAACCTGTTTATTGTGACGTCAAATTTTCGCGTCTAAAACGCACATGTTCATTTTTCCTTTTTATGTACTTTCCGTTGTTCAGTTCCGCTTTGTCCAGTGAAAATGTAACTAAATTAATACGATTCCGGTTGTCATTTTGAATGTTAAATTTGGTTCCTTTGCATTTTAAATATTTTTTAAAGATACCTTCGATAATGACTTGTAAGAATGACTTAAAATATACCACTTTATTTAGTGTTACACATTACATGTACAGCGCTGTATCACTGAGAATATTGAAAATGAAAGTACGATTGAATGCGATTGATATAATTCGAATTAATTAAATAAACTTCTGATTATTTTTCCCCTAAGTAAAATTTTCTTATATAAATAATAATAAACTATATTCAGAAAGAAACAAACAAGTAGTGTCTCAAAAAATTCTATATACAAAAACACGCCTCTACGGATGCAAAAATTATGATCCACCGAGATACAGACAGAAACGCCATCACATAAACAATACGTTACTAGGCTAAATAGCGAGTGAAGGCTATACTGAAAGATGAAGAATGGACGATGAAATATCAGTAAGTATTTAATATTTCTAAAATTTTTGTATTTATTTTAAATGTTTGATTATATATTTTTTTTCAATTGATGAGTTCATGTAACATATCGTTTTCTGTGCAGTGTCATGCACGATGCAGCGTTACTATGTAGATACAGTACATGTATACGCCGGTCGATCAAAATTCATTTTATTTCCTGAAATCTGTCTATGAAACTGTAGTCCATATTAGGCTTATTTGTTTTTGTACTGTTAAAAGATTATTTCGATACTAAAAATATCCACCGATGTACTTTAAATAGGCCTAGTTGTGCATTCGATTCAACCGGCGACGCACGGTTTTGCTTCTAGACTCTAGTGCACATTTATAAAATAAAATTTCTGATTATATCTATATAAATAAAAATTAAATCTGTGAATTTTAAATATCAAAGAGCTTACATGATATCTAAAGTATTATTTCAACACATAATGATATACGGCCATGACGAGAGAGAGAGAGAGAGAGGATACTTATCATACTGGGAGTTATATTGTTTTCATAGTTTGCGATTTTATTGAAAATATGTAGCCTACATTTAAAAAATGTGCATGAACATACTACCTGTATCAATGTTAATTTTACACTTCCTATGCCTATCGACAGATCCGATATCAAATTGTATCGTAAAGAAAAATATCATCCTATGTCAGCGTGTGATGTACTGCACTAGGCTTACTTTAACAGGTCCTAAAGGGAAAGGGGGGTATTTAATTGAAAATACAATAGAAAACAAACCTCATTTACAGTTGAACCCATTCATAATTTTACCGATATATACTTCACAATAGAACACAAAGCTGTGTTACGGTGATGCACCCTCATAAATAACACAAGATTTTTTTAAAATTTTTTTTTTTGGGGGGGGGTTGTCATAATTTTTCGTTAGCGCCCCAATCCCAACGGAAACTGCTTCCCCTGGCCTTAATATGTCACGCCGAGTCTTACTTTTTATTTTATTCCATGTAATGCGCAATATTTTAAATGTGTGCAGCATATCTGTTAGATATATGCATGATGTTCATTAATTGTGAAAGTAATAAATAAACATATTAAACAATATTAAAATAGTTTTGGTTTATTGACAGGAGCTTGACTCTCTACGCTGAGCACTTCGGTAGAACACCATGTACTACTCCAGTGGCATCACAAGAACTAAGTCTTTCTGACACCGAGGAAGAGGATGAGAGACCCGCTAACATTAATGACAGAGCTAGAGAATATCTGGACAACCTAAACAGCGAGGAAGAGGGAAGTACATATACAGGTGATGAAACGGGCTGCTCTGCGCAGTACAGTTAAGGCAACATTTTCTATAAAAAGTCACCGAAAACGATACAATTAATGTTTAACTATTTTATTTTTCTGCAAGACACTCTAGTTAAAATAGCTTTATGTTATCTTGAAGAGTATGTCCATTGCTATTCACCTCGGAATTTTTTTGATCATGTGACCCTCTAAAGTCACGTGGGCTCCGATTTTAGGTCAACAAATGAAATGTAAATTTAACCAAAAAGTTCAAGGGCAAGGCAAACAAACAAATAACTGCAAAATGTTTAAAATTGTCCCTAGGTATCTATACTTTCACAAAAGTGATGCTCATTCAGTTGTTTTTCCGATACATTTAAGTTATTCACCTAAAACAGTCAGTAGTATATGATAAATAGGATATTTTCCTAATATCATCGGAAATTATAAATTACCTAAATGATTACAAAGAAATGAGCATCACTTTTTGAGAACTATACAGTAAAATGAATAATTTAAAATAAAAACTTACATATTAAATTGTCGCTTTGCCCTTGAACTTTTTGATTAAAAATTGACATATTGGTACAGTCAGTCTAAATATAGTTTTCAAACGCATCGTTGACCCAGCATGGGAGATAACTCTTTAGTACTTGATAAAGTTTGTTTACCTCGTAGATTTTAACTATAGGCCTATACTTGCAGACTGCGCTGGGATCTTTTTACTTAATCGAACAGTATGCATAAAATACTGGATATTACTTTCTATTTTGTGACTTCGTTCTCTATACAATGTATGAATAATGTATAAGACGTCTTTCAGTCCTTCCGCATTTCCTCGAATATGTGTAAACACACATGCATCTATGTGTAACGTTTGCCGCAGCATGTAATTTAAAACGCCGATTGTTAATAAAAATGGGAATAATCAATTAAAATAATCAATTGAAAGCCTCCATCAATAATTGATTCGATAAATTTATACCTTTCTGTCACTGCAGTACATACATGTTCACTTATGTACAAATATTTTTTTTCGCATAGGCCTACAAGATTCTATCATGGCTTTCTTTCAAACCTACAACTCCTATGGGATTTAAGTTGTACGTTTTAAGAAGAAAGACTTAGTGGAAATCATAAATATTCCTGTATTTGTTAAAGGGACAACCATTTTTTACCAAAAGAGGGGGGGGGGGGTTAGATCTCAAAAATGTTGAAAATAAATATGTCCCACACTGGATAAAAAAATAAATAATCTGCCCCAGACCAGTGTTCCCCATCCTATAAATTGTTTTTTTTTTAGCTTGTCAGACATTTTTCAGTGAAGAGAAACCTGTCCTTCATTGACATGAAAAGAAATTAAAAAAATAATGACCTGGGAAAACTTGCCAAACCCCCCCCCCCCCCCTCCCTTCAGAATAAAATGGTGGTCCCCTTTCCTGTTTTCAATCAATTAGGGGAGCCTTTAATCTCCTTTTCAGTTACTATTATTAAGAAAAACAAATTAACACAATGTACATGCAGGAAATAAAAACTTGATGGACATTGACACCCACCACACAAATATATGCAAGTCAAGATTATCAAATCTTAATAGCCTTTTCAACACCTGTACAGTAAGTACATGTATATGAAAAAGTCAAATCATTTTTTATGAAGAATTTTTATTTCATAAACAGCTTTTCAAATTGTGGTAGACTGTACAAGGAATACTGAGCAGCTGCAAATCATTTCCATCACTTCATGTTCTTGTGGATGAAATCAATTCTGAAAATACATGTATGAGAAAATCAGGACATACTTGTAGTATCATACCATTATTGAGAGTAAATTGGTGTTTAAAATTGAATTAAATTCAGAACAATGCATGGAAACATGCACAAACATTTGACGCATAATTAAATATTTGCAATTCTACTGTTATATTTTATTGTTTGCCAGGAATATTGCATGGTAATTTGGTTTAAAGCTAATATGGAGCATACCATTTTCCTTACATGATGGATTAACTTGCTGCCTGAATGAATCCATTGGTCCAATTCTTTAGGAATAGCTGTAACACATTATATATACTATTGTTATGGGATTACTAAATAAAATACATTGTATAATAAAATCACAATACATTTGACAAAACAACTCATGGTATAATGTATGCTGTACATAGTGAATTTATGAAATCCATATTAAAAGATAAATGGAAACAAAGTTGTATTACAAAATTTTTCTGGGAAATCAAAACCTCTGACATTTACAAGAGCAAAAATTAAAAAATGAAAAAAACATCTTTCATCTTTACAAAATGAAAATAAATATAATCATGCACACATGCATGGTTTAAAAAAATGTGAAATGCTTTATAAGTGTACATACCCTGTGGAGAAATGGGTGCATTTTGTATTTATTTATTCTTCAAGCCTGGAACTCATGACTGCTACAATAATAAAAGTATTATATATCATATAAGTAAAAAAAATTATGTATAAATTACAGAAATTAATTGACTTGACATGAAATCAAACTAAAAAAATATTTTATTCCCCATTAATTTAGAAATTCTATAAATTTAAAACCATAGATCTAAAGTGCAGGTTCTTTGTTTTCAACATAATGATACAGATAATTTTTTTACATTATGTAGCATGTTTGTATGCCAAAAAGACAACATTACATGTTCAGTAAATCATTGTCAACTCATTGATTGCAACAATGAAATTTCAAATTTAATTTAGTTTAAGTTTGTATTACTGTTGAAACCCCTTCTTACATGTACACATGCTGTCTCAAAGAAAATAAGCTAATCGACTCTAGATTTAGTACAATTACATTTTTAAATTTCTAGTAAAAAAAAGGGGATCAAATTTATGTGGGCTGTTGGGAAGGGGAGGGGGGGGGGCGACACACACTGCACTGCATTAGTTTTTCACTGACTGTGATAATGCATCTAAATAAACACGTACACACTCGCGATCGTTTTTTATTTGATGTTGACAAAAGCATATCTACACATTGTACATACATGTGCATACATACCTCATTACCTGGGCTGAATGCACTGCAGTGATGGATCTAGGGAGCTAGTGCAGATCGTCTCAGTCTTCCGTTATTTTCTGTAATAATGTCCTCATATTCTCGTAATAGGGATAAACAATGCTTTGTCTCTTATCCATATTTTCTTTAAAGAATGTCTGGTTATTGCATTTAAATCCACTGCATATCTCAGCTGATGTCGCCACATTTTTAGATGTAAACAATATTCCGTGTCATCGAGTGCAAGCGCTTGGCTGAAGCCGAATGCAGCCAAACGGCACATAAGAAAGAGAATTATTTTAAAAACATGCTTTTCTTTATAGGAGAAAATCACTAATAATTATTTATTTAAACATGGAAATATTGCTGTTTGTGACAAATTCTTGCAAATATCGGTAAATAGTTATTTTGAGCTCTATTTCCTTATAAGGATCAATCAGGGCGGAGCAACTGTCATGACGTCAAACCTCATTATGACCTCATTACCATATTTTTTCCATGGGTTGCCTTAACCTTACTGCGTGTATTAACTGATGATGAAGACATTTGTAGAATAAGAGATTTACAACGAAAAACATGTTGCTGTAAACACAACTGCATAAATAAATTTCAAGAATCTCAAATACTCTCACATGTGTTCGATGTTCGGGAAATGCAGAAAGATGAGAAGGAATTGTACATAATTGATCTCTTGTTGATTGTGAAATGATAAAACTAAAAGAGGAAGGAAACGAGAAAGATCAAGACACGAATTTATTTTTGCTGGAAAGAAAGTTTGCAGAAAAACATTTATGATCGCTTTTGATATTGGAAAACAAGCTTTACAGAACATAAGAGATCACATGAAAAAACATGGACCAACGCCTCGGAAACATGGTAATATTGGGTCCAAGCCTGCTCACGCTTTGAAATTTGAAGACATCAAAGCTGCTCTTCAATTTATACAGAGTCTTGCAGAAGAAATAGGTTTGCCCCAGCCAGCAGCTCCTCGAGGACGAGATAGCATACCCCCCATATATATCCCTTCTGACATGACGAAAAAATATGTTCATAGCAAGTATGTTACTAGCTGTGATGTAGGAGAACACCCAATGCGATGCGTCAAGTATTCCACGTTTTGCGGGATACGGAACCATTGTTTGCCTCATATCAAAATTGCAAAGCCACGGGATGATGTGTGCGCTACCTGTGAAAAGTTCAGAAAACTAATTATAGATTCAGTATCGGAAGAAGAAAAACTAGATTCGACGACCAAAATGCAGAAACATATAACCCATGCCCAAGAAGAGAGAGCTCTTTATAACAATTGTATCAAAGAAGCGCTTGAGAACGGTTCTCGACATTTCACATTTGATTTCAGTTAGAATGTAAACATACCTCATCATGCTCGTCAGATGGGGCCACTATATTTCCTGAGTCTTCGCAAAATTCAAGTATTTGGTTTTCGAATAGACGACATCCCAAAGCAATTAAATTTTTTAATTGATGAAAATGAAACGATAGGCTGTGATGATTCGAATACACATGGACCAGATTCCGTTATTTCAATGATCGACTGGTCATTTTCACAGTACGGAACAGATGACAGAAAAATCACAATTCATGCTGATAATTGCTCAGGTCAAAATAAAAACCAGTTTGTTATTGGATACCTTATGTGGCGTATTATGACAGGACAGCAAGAAGAAATTACGTATATGATGCAAGTTCCGGGACATATGCGTTGTATCATTGATGGCGGATTTGCTTTAATCAAGAAACTTTACAGAAGAAGTGACTGCGATTCCATTGATCAGCTTGAAAGAATTGTAGAACAGTCCTCAGTTGCAAATTTGGCAGTCCGGTATCCCACGTGGCAGTGGCGAGAATGGAAGGCTTTTCTCTCTGAGTGTTTTAAACCTCTCAAGGGAATACGCAAGTACCACCATTTTTGCTTTAAAGGTACAGAGCCTGGTACTGTGACGGTAAAGGAGTCGGTTTCATCAGAAGAAATAAAGGTCAACATATTAAAAGACAGAAACTGTGTATTTAACCAGGATAGACCAGCTATTTTACAGCCCACCGGTCTCTCTGATGCTCGCAAGCAGTACTTGTTCACGAAAGTAAGACCATTTGTACGACCGGCTCAACAAGATATGACCTGTCCGCCGCTTGAATAGTGAATAACGTACAAATAATGACAAAGAAAATGTTGTTTTTGAATGATAATTACTGTTTATTATTATAATTATTTCTATACAATATTTGAAAAATTAAATTATGTTTTATAATCAAATTGACGTGTGCAATGTTAACGTCATTTTGATTGAAAAAAAAATAACGTCGTCTGACGTGATTTGTATAAACATTAAAACATGCTATGTTCAAGCAGGTATATCTTTAAAACTATTGCAAATAAAATGCTCAAATTTTCACTGTGTGTCCTAAATTTGTTGTAGATTTGAAATATACAAAAAAGTCAATTTCGAAAATTTTGTCATTAAGACCCCTTTTCACAGAGAACGGTCCATATAATTATCAAATTTGCATCTGATCCATTCTTTAATGTTTTAGACTCTGATCCAGATTTGGCAGGAAAGCTGATGACCCTAGTGTAAATCAATATCATAGAAAAATTTCAGCTAATCTATCGGTTCAAATTTTCAAAAGGCATATTCAGATAATTATCATTATGTCTCAATAAAAAAAATTGTTTTTTATCGCAAACCTTTCATGATAACAATCAAAATGGGATGCAGTTAACCAATTAGCAATTTTGTAATGGATTGTCATCCCTACTTAATGGCAAATTTATATTGTGTTTATGAAGCAAAGACATTTCGTTTTGCATATAAAACACAATAAAAAAGTTAATTCATTGCTTTGACAATTGTATGAAAATAAAAAGCTGAGCCAGACTACACAAATTCCTTTTTATTTAATTTAAAAGGACTGTATTATACTCAGATGACTGTTCATCATTCTTTTGTTGATTTCATATGATATTTTGGATGTGTTGGTACTTATCATTTAACATTTTAACTTTCATGTCATGATCTTAAAGCCCAACTAAGCTTTTTTGATCAAAATTAGTCTGCTGTATGTTGTCATCATGTGCATTACAATCGTCATACACTTTTACTTTGCACTATCTTCTTCTGAACCACAGAGCCAGTTTTAAAAAAAAACTTGGCACAAAGCATCCTTGGGACAGGGTTGAAATTTATGTTAAAGTATACTCTGGTAGTAAACGTTTTTTTTAAAAAGCAGGGAAATTAGAAGAATATGGACTGAAAAAAGAAGCTTTTGTTTTCCATTTTAAGTAGGATGTTGACCTCTATTAATGCTATTAATCTGGAAAAAAAATAATGGATATTGACCTTCAAATTATTGGCTATTTAAGGAATGAACTCTCCTAAACTTTTCAGATGAATCTTCTTCAAAATGCTTACCATATGCATTAAAGGATTCAATTAAAATTCCAATTTCAGATATTTGAGGGAAAAAAAAGCAACATTGCAAGAATTTCAAAAAGATGTCAAGTGGGCCTTGGAATCTACAGAAGCACAACCAGGTGAGAATTCTGACTATGCTAACTAGTGTAATAGTTGATAGAAATTGATATCTGATGAAGATGACTGTTTATATCTTCTTCTGTAGGTGACCACCCTCATCAGTCAGATGTAGAGTTAGATGGTGGAGAGTCAGATAAAGGATTGGTTTCTGTTGATGCAGTGATTAAGTCTGTCCTTGAAGATGCACGAGCAGGTGAGATATCTGACTATGCTAACTATGGCAATAGTTGTTGGATATTGATATCTGATGAAGATGACTCTGTTTATATCTTCTTCTGTAGGTGACCACCCTCATCAGTCAGATGTAGAGTTGAATGAGTGAATGATGGAGAGTCAGATAAAGGATCCAGTTTTGTTGATGCAGTGATTGAGTCTCTCCATGAAGGTGCACATGCAGGTGAGATATCATACTATGCTTATTAGGGCAATAATTGTTTGAAATTGATATCTGATGAAGATGACTCTGTTTATATCTACTTCTGTAGGTGACCACCCTCATCAGTCAGATGTAGAGTTGAATGGTGGATTGATTGATTGATTGTATACTGTTTTACGTCCCTCTCCAGAATATTTCCAGCATATTTCACTGATATGGAGACGTCACCATTGCCGGTGAAGGGCTGCAAATTTAGGCCTTTGCTCGGCACTCACTTTGAGCAGGGAGGGATATCTTGCCACACCTGCTGTGACACGGGGCCTCGGTTTATACGGTCTCTTCCGAAGGACCGCCCCATTTAGTCGCCTTTTACGACAAGCAAGGGGGTACTGGGGACCTATTCTAACCTGGATCCCCACGGGGTAGTTGAATAGTGGAGAGTCAGATAAAGGATCCAGTTCTGTTGATGCAGTGATTGAGTCTGTCCTTGAAGATGCAAATGCAGGTGAGAATTCTGACTATGCCAACTAGGGCAATAGTTGTTTGAAAGTAATATCTGATGAAGATGACTGTTTATATCTTCTTTTGTAGGTGACAACCCTCATCAGTCAGATGTAGAGTTTAATGATGGAGAGTCAGATAAAGGATTTGGTTCTGTTGATGCAGTGATTAAGTCTATCCATGAAGGTGCACATGCAGGTGAGATATCTGACTATGCTAAATGGAGCATTAGTTGTTGGAAATTGAATATGACGAAGATGACTGTTTATATCTTCTTCTGTAGGCGACCAATCTCTACAGTCAGATGTAGAGTTTAATGGTGGAGAGTTAGATAAAGGATCCAGTTCTGTTGATGCAGTGATTGAGTCTCTTCTTGAAGATGCACATGCAGGTGAGATATCTGACTACGGTAATTGGGGTAATAATTGTTGGAAATTGATATCTGATGAAGATGACTCTGTTTATATCTTCTTGTGTAGGTGACCACCCTCATCAGTCAGACGTAGAGTTTAATGATGGAGAGTCAGAGTCTGATATGGATGATTCTGATAAAACTTGGATTGATTCAGATAGTGATCCTGATACATTTTTGTAACTCATCGGGTAAAAGCGATTCTTATAACGCATCACAATAAATTACTGTCGTATCGTGGAATCAACCACCGAAGTGGGTCCAGAACATTGTACAAAAATTAAAGAAAATTTAGTTAGGTGCCTGTTG